CCTGGGGGGCAGTGGCACATGCCGTGATGGAGCGGAGGACCTGGGTTGTATGCCAGGTCTCTCATTTGTCAGATCCGCGCTTGGGTGAGTGTTGCTGCTCCCTGCACCTCCCATTCCTCACCTGGGAGATGGGGACGGTAACAGACCCTCCTTAGAAAGTCGTCTAGAGGATGAACCCAGGTAACAGGAGCAACGCTGAAGACAGAGTGGCCTGCGGTAGACGTGCTGGCTGTTATCACTAGTGTCATTATTTTACTCTCATTCCTGCTGCTGCTCTCTGTGCTGCTCTTGTGAGGATGTTTTCAGTGCCTCCGGACTTTCTGTTCCCCATTAGGAAGGTGGGGTTCATGGTTTCTTTGCCTTCAGCCACACAGTTTGTTCTACACAAAATAGAGGGCGGCAGTTCAACCACTGAGTCACACCAGCCGGGCCACCACAGCTTTTTAATCCACTCATCTACTGATGGGCACTTGGGCTCCTTAGAAATCTTGGCTATTGTAACTAATGCTGCAATGAACATACGGGTGCATATATTCTTTTGAAATAATGTTTCGGGTTTCTTTGGATATATTCTCAGAAGTGGAATTTCTGGGTCCTAAGGCAATTCCATTTTTAATTATTTGAGGAAACTCCATACTGTTTTCCACAGTGCTGTACCATCTGCATTCCCACCAGCAGTGCATGGGTGTTCCCTTTTCTCCATCCTCACCAACACTGATGGTTGATTTGTTGATGACAGCCATTCTGACAGGTGTGAGGTGATACCTCATTATGGTTTTAGTTTGCATCTCTCTGATGGTTAGAGACATTGAGCATCTTTTCATATGTCTGTTGGGCATCTGTATGTTCTCTTTGGAGAAATGTCTATCCAGGTCTTTTGCCCATTTTTTAATTGGATTGTTTGGGGGTTTTTTTGTGTTGAGTTGTATGAGTTCTTTATAAATTTTGGAGATTAACCCCTTATCAGATGTATCATTGGCAAATATGTTCTCCTGTGCAGTGGGTTATCTTTTCATTTTGTTGATGTTTCCTTTGCTGTGTCAGCTGTTTAGCTTGATGCAGTCCCGTTTGTTTTCTTCTTTGTCTCCCTGCCCGAGGAGACATATCAGAAAAAATATTGCTACAAGAAATGTCCGAGATTTTACTGCCTGTGTTTCCTTCTGGGATTTTTGTGGTTTCCAGTCTTACATTTAGGTCTTTAACCCATGTTGAGTTTATCCTGTGTATTTCCTGCCTCTCAGCCTGCAGGCCTCACCCTCAACAGCACTGCCTCCCAGGCGGAGTCTCCTCCCTCCTAGGTTCACCCACACCCGCTCCAAGGAGCACTGGTCACTCTGTGTCCCTGACCCCGCTTTTGTCTCCTCTCTCTGCTGGACTCTGCCCCTGCAGGCAGGGCTGCATCCTCTGCGGTGTGCACTCCCTCAGGCACGCTGCATGCACAGGGCCTGCACGTGCAGCTGCACTGAGTGAGCGGCGGGCATCAGCATAATTAGCACGAGTGCCCCTCAGGCGGTGGTGTAAACCTGTCAGCCCTGGAGGCACTTCTCATTCATGCCACAGCCCCAGGCAGACCGGGTGCCTTTGGCCACCCTCCTTTCCAGTGGTTCTGCCTTCTCCACGTGTGGCCTACACACGTTGCTGGGGAGGGAAGGGGGTTTCCCAGCATGTTCCTTGTGTGGCTGCACCCGGACGTGGCTGCCTCACCCCCACTCACGTCGCCCTGGCCACGCCTGGTTTGTGGCTCCCATCCCACTGCAGATGCTGGGAAATCTTGTCTTCCTTTGTGCCCCGTCTCATCAGAACTGGGCGTGGGAGGGACTCTCAGAGCCAGAGGGCCTTCGTGCTGGCTCCCGAGGCCTCGTCAGTGTTCCGGACGCTCTAGCCAGTGACATGCTTTCAATCTGCTGACTCTGGAGCTGCCGTCTCTCCTCAGGGCCGAGCTGCTTGCTGCTCCTGAAGGAGGGGCCTTCTACTTATCTTGGGAAAACCATATTTTTCTGAGATGGAAGTAGGAAGTCTGGGGACGCAGTCCCTGTGCCCACCTGCAGCTCATGTGAAGGGTGGCTCCTGGGGAGGCCCCTTGGAGAGGGGCACGTGGTTGAGAAGATGCCCTGGGCTGGACACAAAAATTGTAATAGTGCAGGGGCAGGGCCTAAGCACTTGTCCTGGAAACCATAGCTTGTCATCTTCTTCACAACATCCTGCTGTTTCAAAAATAGTTATTCTTAGTATGATGGTGTCTTCATCTTCTTGAAGCTCAAAATAAAATTAACCTTTTTGGAGGGAAAAAAAATGCTTCCATTAAAATAGTCCCGAATGTTCTTTTGTAAGGTGAAGACTCACTCCCATGCTCTCTGTTACTACCTGTAAACATAACTGACAGAAATACTGTGGTGGGGATGCCGCACAGAACGGCGGCAGGCCACAGCACGAGGACCCCTAAGCGGTCACAGAGAGCTGGCAGGTTCTCCGAGCCGGGCTTCCCTCAGTCCCATCGCTTCTTGTGCCATTTCAGCTGCAGCCCCAGGAGCCCAAGCAAACATCTCACAAACACCCACGGCTCCCTCAGCGCTGCACGCCACCCAGTGGGACAGGCCCCCACCGGATGCTGCTCTCCTCCGGAGCCCCGTGTGACAAATGGGGTCTCGGAGGGACCAGCTCCCTGTCTTTGCTCACTTATTACTGGTCTTCTGCCCTTTGCTCCCTGCCCAGAGGATTTGGGACCAGGGAGCTGGTCCACAGGCCAGCCTTCTTCTCTCCCTTCCACTCCATGGTGGGTGTCTTTGCCATCTCTTGTCTGGACTTGGCAACAGCCTCCAAGCCATTCTCCTGGTGGCTGCCTCGCTTCCCCTAAATCAGTGGTTCTCAACCTTCTGGCCCTTTAAATACAGTTCCTCATGTTGTGACCCAACCATAAAATTATTTTCGTTGCTACTTCCTAACTGTAATGTTGCTACTGTTATGAATCGTAATGTAAATATCTGATATGCAGGATGGTCTTAGGCGACCCCTGTGAAAGAATCGTTAGACCCCCAAAGGGGTTGCGACCCACAGGTTGAGAACCGCTGCCCTAAATCTACCCCCACATTTATTAGTTCTTGCAGCAAATATTTGCGGGGGCTCGTGAGCGCTGAGCACTGTGCTCAGCTCTGCAGTGTAGGGTGAACAAGACAGCTAAGGTCCCCCCTTCCTGGGACTGTCCATCGAGTAGAGGAGGCACATGATGAACCGTGAGCTCATTCCAGGCAGCGGTCAGCCTGGGCCTGGCATTCAGGCCCCGGAACAGGGCCTGGGCCCCACTGTGGGCCGAGCGAGGGCCTGTGGCTCTCCTGGCCGTGCCTCCACTCTGCCCATTCTGGGCATCCACGCCGCCCGCCAGCCCCCTCCTCCTTCCCTCCCGCCTGGGACTGCTCCTGCGTGAGGGGAGCGGCCCTCACAGTGTCCCATGGCTGCCACTCGGGGGGAGTGGGGGGGGGGCAGAGGGAAGGTCCCACAGAGGCATCACCAGGGAGTGACTCTGGGCTGGAAGCCTTGCTGTGACCTTGAATGGCCTGGCTCCTGCCCTGCGTTTCTTCCTCCCGCCTGTGCTCAGGGGGCGGCCAGGTGAATGCAGGGCAGCCAGTGACATTTCATTTCAGATAAACAATGAATAATTCCCTAGTTCCAGTGTGTCCCAAATATTGCATGGAAAGGTTCTATTGTGTGGTGCACAGTGGAACAATGAAAAATTATTGAATTATGAATTATTGAATATTGAATTATGAAAACTGAAAAATGACTCACTGCTTATCATAATTCAAATGCCACTGGGCATCCTGTGTCTTTATTTGCTAAATCTGGCACTTCTTAAAGAATCTCCCTGCCATGCTGGGGTCCTTGGCAGGGCCTTAGGGGGCTCTCAGAGACCAGGTCATCCTGGGCGGGGCCTCACCCAGCAGCTGTCACTGGGGCCTGCGGGGCCGGCTCTGTGGTGACCCAGGGTGAGGGGGGGGGCGGTGAGGCCCAGTCCATCTATGGACCCCGTGGATGCGCCGCCCAGTCCTCTCTCGGCCGCAGTTTGACATGGAGATTAATCAGAGTGCACTCCTCCTATTCTTGTGGGATGAACGACCCTGCTCTTCAGCCTCCCTCTCTGCTCTGTTGCCCCCCTTGGCCTCCGGTGCAGTGGGAGCCTCACTAGAGAAGGCCTTCCCTGCCCCTCGCTATGGGACGGGCTACAGGATCTGTGGGGCCCAGGGCAACAGGAAAACGGGGGCCCCATGTTCTAAAATTATTAAGAATTTCAAGACAGGGACAGCAGATGATGACACAGGTCCATCCCCGAGCAACTGCAGAGGTGCATGCCTGGGAAGCTGGCCGGGGGGCAGGGGGGGCGGGTGTTAGAGCGGTGAGCAGGGGGCCTGGAGCAGGGAGGGGAGGGTCCAGGCCTGCGCCTGTGGGGTGGGGAGGACTGTGCTGCCATGTCTCCTGGGTTTTCAAGAGAAGGTGGAATTTGTTTATCAATGAAATCTTTGTTAAATAGTGGTAATAGGTTTTTATTTAGGAAAATTCCTGTGAAGGCAAAATTAAGCGCCCTCTCTCCAGGGTGGCACTTGGTGTGATTAACAATTCCACACTGACCTGTGTGGTCACTGGTTTTATCTGTGCCCCCCTGCTGGCCTGGGACTCCACCAGGGCCACACTGTGTGTGTGCTGGTGCACCCTGAGTCCCTGGCACCACATCTGGCACATGGCGGGTACTCAGTAACAGCGAGAGTCGCTGAGACTTCATTCAGTTCTGGGAACACACTGAGGGAGTTCGCTGGACCTGCACTCACACCTAATTTCATGAGCATCGTCCCTGTCATTAAATGTGGTCACACGTGTAAAGCCTGAGATGCTCTTTGTGTGTGTGATCATTCGATAAACGTGAGCTGTCTGGTGGCGAGGGCCCGGTGTGTGCTGTGGGGAGTGGTGTCGGCGAGGAGGCTTTGACGGAGCGCCCCTGTCTGTCTCCCCAGGACGCCAAGTTCGTGGAGGAGCGGAGGAAGCAGCTGCAGAGCTACCTGCGCAGTGTCATGAACAAAGTCATCCAGGCCGTCCCCGAGTTTGCCGCCAGCCCCAAGAAGGAGACCCTGGTTCAGCTGATGCCCTTCTTCGTGTGAGTACCATCCGTGGGACGCGCTCTGCCCTCACATCCTTCCTCCTTTTCCATGGCGGGGCAGCCAGCGGCCTGTGTCCTAGACACCCTGGGCCCAGGTGCACCAGGAGTCGTGGGAGGCGCCGACAGGGAGACTCGGGCCATGCGCTTTGGCGTTCCTGAAGGGCTCATGAAAGTTTGCAAAGGAGAAATGTAGATTTGAGGTCTGCAAGAGAATGCGGGGCTGTGTGGTTTCATACTTTCATACACTGCGATCACAGGGGGGACTCATATTCCCTGCAGCCCACAGGTGGTCAGAGCGACAGTCTCTCAGCTCGGGTAGTGAACCCAAGGAAAGTTCTCAGGCTCCCACTGGTACCAACTGACATGATTTCCATATTAATATTGCTTATGTAAGGACAGACTTAAAATTAGCATAAATTCCTTATTCATACACCTCCTTATAAGAGTAAGAAGTTAAAGACGCTTACGTGTTAAGCACTTACAGGACAGTTACGATTCGCAGCTGTCTGTGCAGTGCTGCTGTGTTTTCTGAGACCAGGCTTTGCTCACAGAGGCGTGTGGCAGGTCTTGTGTTTGCATGTGCCATGCCGGTGTCAGCCTGCTGACCTCTTCCTCCCCGTGGTTCTCGGGTCACAGTGCCTGGAAACACCTGCTTGTGCGGCACCTTGAAGCAGGTGGCCGTCACGGTGCATCACCTGGTCGCTGGCGAGTCCATGTTTTCCTAACAAATCTCCAGCCTGAGACATTCACCTCCTTGGATGTGGAGACCTGGGATGATGAAGCAGCCCTTGGTTTTCACAGAGTCTTCAGGTGGTGAATATAGTTTCATTACTTCTAACATGTTGTCATCATAATGGAAACCCAAGATGGAAGCAATAGCAAGGCTGTGGCTCCCCGGAACAGGATTGGGACTTGTCATTGAGAAGCACTGGTCAGAGTCTGTGATCTGCTGGGATAAACGAGTTTCCTTTCTCCGACGCTCTCTCCAGGGTGTGCTGAGGCTGGGGGTCTGATCCATTCTAACAGTGTGGCCATCACATAACAGGGGGCCTGTTTCTGCTTCTGAAGGTGGGGGCGCTGCTTTGGGGGTGCACTTCCCAACATTTCCAAGGCGAATTCCCAGCACTGCCCCTCTTCCCTGCGTGGGGCCTTTGAAATTGTAGCCAGTCTGGTTGCTGTCGTTTTCCTAATGGTCTGAGGCCTCTGTGCGGGGGTGTGCTGGTGTCACGCTGCTGCCTTCCGAGTAGATACACCAGGTGCCTGGGATGCCAGGCCGGAGCTCGCTGCTTGGAAAGGGCCGCGCGCGTTCACCAAGGAGTCCCACCCGCAGAAAGGTGGCCCCGCCCGTGGTGTGGACAGAAATTAACCTCCCCTGAGTCCTGTGCGCTTGGCTAAGTTCCCTGGCGAACATCGAGTTAGAGCGCTGGTCCTTAGGCTCTGATGCTAAGAAAGGAGAAAACACTGCCCCGCACAGGCGAGCGGGTGGCCTTCCTGCTGGCACTGCCCAAGTCTCTGGTCGTGCCAGGCGTTAGCAAACATTGGCCGCCGGAGTTGTGAAAATCGTGTGCTAATGAGAGCGTCTCAGTGAGTGGCACAGCCTCAGCCCGCTGGTGCCATTAATCAGAGGCGGGAAAGGAACCTTGTGTGCCTGATTAGCACAGGGAATACAGGTTCCATTTCATGGCCTTTAAAAATACAAAGGGTTCAGTCGGGGATGGTGGCAAATGACACAATATTGACATGAGATTTCTGGCTGAACGTTGGTCTGGGCTGGCACCCAGGTAATTAAACAGCTTTCCCTGGTGGCTTTCCTCGCAGTTCCAGGTCAAGCAGCCCTCTCCACCTTCGTCTTTCTGAGGAGGGGGTTACAGGTGGGATGTGCGGACTGTTGCACGTGGGGGACGGGAGAGGAGCGGGTGAACTGCCGCGTGACCATTTCCGGTATGTGCTCCCATGAGCACCATTGAGACTATTTCAGCTCCGACCTCACCCTAAGAGAGCTCCGGTTTTATAAACACTCTCTTGGCTGAGGAAATAAACCCGGAAAAGCATTTTTTTAAAAAATAAATCTTGACAGATTTCCTCAGCTCTTTCAAAGGGTGACTCAGGACCCTAAAGATCCGCTGTAGCTACTGAACATGCATGGTCGTGTTTATGGGGCGTGTGCCGCTTCCTCCACACCTGCGTCTGGTGGGCATGTGCTGTGGGCACTGGCTGAACATTGACCTGCCTGGTCTCCCTGAGGGCCGACCGGGTGGGCACCGTGTCTCCATTTTGTTAGGTGGGACCTTACAACATTGTCAATCAGAGGACAACTTTATAAGGTTCCAGCTAGAACTGATGAGGAGAGTGAGGCGCTGAGGGGTTACCTGGCTGACCCCAGGGTCACTCACCAGCACATGGCAGCCTGGGCTGTTTGGTGCCAGGGCCCATGTTTTGGGGTTTGGGTGACAAGCCCACAACCAGTGGATTGAGCCTGACCCTAGGACCTGCTTTATTTGACCAGTCCAGTGGGGTTTTATTATTTGTTTTTCTTAATTGAAATATTGCCAACAGCAAACAATTAGGTGTCAGATTTTTAAAAAATCAGATATCAAGTTCCTCTTGAAATGAGAATTGGTCACTCTTTGTTATGGAGTGGGTGTTTGTGCAAACCCCGCCCCCCATTCATATGTTGCAGTCCTGTCCTCCCCGGGGTGGCATTTGGGGTCTTTTACAATGGCTGGGCCTGCTGACATAGTGCCCTGTGAGAGGAGGAGGAGGAGACGGAGTGCCTCTCTGCCATGTGAGGGCACAGTGCGCAGGCAGCTGCCTGCAAGCAGGGAAGGCTGCCCCTTCTCCTGGAACCGGCTCCGCAGCACCCGGACCTTGGACGGCAGCCTCCAGAGCTGGGAGGAGTAATGCCAGGTGCTTACACCACAATTACTGTGTGGTGCGTTGTTCTGGCAGCCGGGATGGCAAATACGCACGGCCATTCCCGCTCAGCCCCACAGGCCACAGCCCCGCCTGACAGTGTTGCCGTCCCCTCGGAGCCCACCCCACCATTGTCTCTTGGTCTTGGAGTGGAGCTTTCCTTGCTGTTCTTGTATTCAAGCGGCATCACTCAGGCACATTGCCTGCAGCCCTCCTGTTACCCACTGCGCAGGCGGCCTCTCCTACAGGGTTTGATGCGAGGCCCCGACCGTGCATGTTCCCCATGATGCACTTGGCTCACCCTTGTGCTCCCTTGCATGTTCTGTGAGCTAGTCCACTGCTACCTGCAGAAAAGCTGGTCCCTGTCCAGTTTGGGGCGAGAGGGGGAAGATGGGCAGGGGCTAAAAGCCTGTGGTAGATTTGCTCGTGGTTTTCCTGTGGTGGTGTGTGGGTTGTTTTGTGTTTTGGTTTTATTTTTTCATAAATATGCCTTAAAACTTTCAGGTTGTGCAGCCTGGAGTCCAATCTTAGATGGACCTGCTTTCGCACACACCTTCCGGCTCATTTTTTTCTGTTCACTGTGTCAGTATTTCCTCTGCTCTGCAAGGGGCGCCAGGACTTCCCCGTATTGTGCCATCTGCACAGATCTGATTGTTGAAGAATCAGCAGGTTGAATTTTTTCCTCTAAGTCTCCCTGCCTCCCGTTGCCTTCTTGCTCACACCAGCCGCAGTCTGTATTGGGAAGTAGGACAGGAGGAAGCGGCTCTTTCTTTTCCATTTTGAACTCTGTGCATCAGTCTGGCCCAGGTGGGGACCAGCATCCGCCCACCACAATGGGGAGTGGATGAATGGCAGGCCCCCAACACCTTCTTCTTTGGGGAGCCCCATCTTTGCGTTGCCCTGGCATCCAGAGAAAGGTGTCCACCGAGACGTGCCACGTGGCAGATGGGAGCAGACACGGAGGGAAATGTCAGGTGTGCTTCTGAAAGCATTGCAGTGAAGGGAGGCTTGGATTCCAAGAACCCGTTCTGCGGACTGGCCCGGAGATCAGTGAGGGCTGGACTGATTTGCCGTGCTGTCATTTAGCGTGTTAATAAAACGGGCTTTCTCCGCAGAGGGACTTCTGCCTGGGAAAAGCACATGTTCTGCCATTCCTTGAGGGGAGAGAGTGTTACGGGGGTGGAGGGAGAGTTATGTAGGTCACTGCACAGATCCCCAGCTGGCCTGGCAGAGAATGTGTGCCGGGTGTCTTCCCCACGCCCCGCCCCCCCTGCTGCCACAGCCACTCTCACCGTGGAGAAATGTGTGTTCTGCTGAAATAGGAGCTGCCAGGGAGCGGGGGTTTAGCTCGGGGCGAGATGGCCCAGCCTGTGCACCACCAGAGGTCACCGGACCTAAGTCCGTTCCTTTCGCTTTACAAGTTCCTTCCGAGGAACCCTGACCTCACTTTGCTTTGTGGACCAGCCCAACCTTCCAGGTGTAAGTCTTCAGCACCACCCAGTGCCAGGAAGGATGGCATATCCCTTCATGGGTCTCAAAACTGGCAGGCTGCTGAAGTGCGGACAGCGTTTTAAAGTAAAATATGAAAAATACATAAACACAAATAAAATGAAATAGAAAATAATTGTGTTATTCTGTATGGGGATGGATGTTGACTAGTTTATTGTGATCATTTTGCGATATACACAGATATGGAGTCATGTTATACACCTGAAACTAATATAATGTTTTATGTCAATTATACCTCAATTTAAAAAACCTGGTTATTTTCTAATGTTTTATGTCAATTATACCTCAATTTAAAAAAGGGGGTTATTTTCTGGTAGGTAAATTATGGATTGTCGCTCGTGGAGGGGGGTTGGGGTGCCACCTTCTATCACCCACAGAGCAGGGCCGATCAGGGGGTTGAGGAGCTCCCCCCTGTCACTCACAGAGTAGGGCCGATAGGGGAGTTGGGGCACCGCCCCCTGTCACACACAGAGCAGGGCGGATCAGGGGGTTGGGGCGCTGCACCCTGTCACACTCAGGGCAGGGCCAATGGGGAGGTTATGGCTCTACCCTGTCACACACAGAGCAAGGCCCGT